GCCACACGCAAACTGCTGGAGTCCGCCATGAGGAATGACTATGGAATGGTCCACCTTCTGCCCCTCAGCCGCAGTCACAGGCTGCGCTTGAATCATCGTTGCTTGGCTCGTCGTTCTGCAGGCCGGCATGCCGCAGCCCGAGTGTTTTTCGAAGGGCGGGTTTCCCGTTCCACCCGATTCGGCAACCCGTGCCAGAGTCTTCTCCCTCTGCTTTAAAGTGCAGAAACAGAAGCCAGAACCTGTACTTGCAAAATGCCCATCCTTACCGGAGACATGGTACACACACACACACATACACACGCACACGCACGTGCGTGCACGCAAGTACGGGTGGGCTTCCTCAAGCCGTGGCAGGGAGGTGTAGTGGAGTTCCGGCCAGAGCTCCGCAGATCCCGAAACTCGAAAACTTCAGCCGACCCCGAGGCTTGCCTCCACCAACGGCCTTCACGGGGAAAGCCTGGTGAACGCTCGCGACTGCCACGGCTTCACACCGCTGCACTACGCCGCCAGGCCCAGGGATGCTGGCACCAAGGGGCTCGGATTAAGGGGTCGACCTCGTTTCACGATAATGACGGTGGGTGGAGTGAATTGTGTGACTATCTACTAATTATGCTATAGACGATAGCTCCCAAGCTCAGTGATGCGTCGTCTATACTTCGGACTGAGGGCCTCGAGGCCGAGGTTCTTCCTCCCCCAAGAGAGATCTGCAAATCGCCCCGGCCAGGCACGGGAACGTTTTTATGCTGGACTTGCTCCTGAAGAAGGGTGCGGATGTCCTCGCGCTCGACAGAGAAGGGCTGCCCCCGCTGCACCACGCCCTGTGTATGATGAGGCCTGAGGCGTGCCAAAAGCTGCTAACTGCCATGGACGAGCTTCCGAAGGAACGGCTGCGGAAGGAGCCGTTGGCCACGAATCTGCAGGCCACGTGGGGCGCTGCTTTCCAGTCCAATAACTCAAGTATGAAGCCACTTGCGGAGAAGCTTGCAGAGATCGCGAAGCGAGCCTTCAGCACCCCGTCAGGCCACCTCCAAGGCATCGCACGGAGTGGCGACGTCCCTGCCATGAGGGCAGCATACAAGACGCTTCCACTCGAATATGTCAAGCTCGGATGGACAAGTCGCACATTTGATGCCGTGGAGTGTGGGCTGTCGGAGATACTGGACCTCGCGATCCTCAGCGGCTCCGCGGCCATGGCCGCGATGGTGGCAGAGCCGGAAGAACATGGCGCCCCTCAGGGCATCGCTTTTGTAGGTGATTTGGAGATGCACTCGGAGCCCAAGCATGTGGAGAGACTGGTGCGGAAGGGCAAAGTGGCCCGCTTCCGTGCCCTGCACGGAGTGCGGCCGCCAGACACCCGCAGGATGGCGGAGCTCTTGGTGCTCGCTGCGGAAAGTGAACAGCTTGAGATGGCACACCAGATTTGGACTCGGGGTGGAGAAGACTTGGCCTCGGCCCTGACGGATGGGGAGAAGCTGAAGCTCGTGCGCCTGGGCAAGCAAGCGGCCGCTCTGGGCCACGAGGAGTTCGTCCGCCTGCTCATCGAGGCCAAGGCCCCACTGGACAAAGTGATTGATGATGGCCGCACGATGATCGACCAAGCGGCCCGCACTGGCCAGACGGCGATCGTGGAGCTTCTGGCTGATGCAAGGGCCCATGTTCGGAATGGAGTTCTCGCCAAGGCTGTCAGCGGGGGACACCGCGACACGGCAGAACTCCTTCTGAAACGACGCGCGGATCCCAAGCAAAGCTGGAATGATGGGAAGGGGGGCCAATCGGTGATCGGTCAAGCGATCATCAACAACCGACCCGAGATGCTCCAGCTCTTGGCCGAGTACGGGGCCGATACCTACACCGACGAGAATTTGGAGTACGCCGAGAAGCAGCAGGCGTTCGAGTGCCTGGAATTCATGCGCCGCTCCCTTGACTTGGGATGCCCCGCGTAGAGCCGCAAAGGAATGCTCAGAGCTAGATTGCATTCATCAGACTTGTCTAGTATAGTCACTCATATGCATATCTACCGATGTACATGTACTAGATTTTTACAAGTAGATGCTCAGAGCTAGATTACGTAGTCGATTCATTAAATTTGCTAAGTATGTCCCGTATAGATCTGTACATATGCATACCCATGACGTATAGTCGACCGTATATGCATGTGTGCAGATGTATGTGTACGAGAGTAAATAAACAGACAAATAAACACATAACAAAATTACACAATTAAATGATCACATATTTATATATATATATATATATGTAAATATATAGTTCAATATATACATTGAGTTACTAGATAGACAGTAAACCATAAATGAGTAGTCAGAGAATACAAGAATATGTACACAACATGTATTTATACACTCATGACGATCACTTTTTGGCTCTTCGGGACATCGCGACAAGTTGCACCGACGCATTTTCGGCTGTCATGTGAAACCCAACAGCCCGCCGCTCTGAGGAGGGCGATGTGGCTGCTTTTGTGAGCTGTGGGAGCGGTGGGAGCTACAGCTTTGAGCTATAACTTTCAACTGCCTTTTTCGCTGGCATGCTATAATATATTGGGCCAGGAGGATGCAGCATGGGTGAGCAATAGTTGGGTTGAGAACCAAAGTCCACCAACGTAAGCGTCAGTCGATTTGAGTCAGGGATCTTGGCTCAGGTGTCTGGATGATCGCATGTCTCAGGCTTAACAGGAGCTGCTAGAATCTTCTGGAACGCCGGGATCATCGAAGATGAGGAAGGATGGTTGTCTTCGCGAAATATGGTGTTTGCACATGCAAACCTTCTGCTCAGGGCCGCTGCTGCCCACCTCGACGGCAGCTCGCGTAGTTAGTGCTCCGGCCGTACCTGGTCCCAGGCGACAGTCTGTCATACGAACGTACGTACGGGTATATATGTTATATATGTATGTACGCATGTTCTTGTACGTGGTATAGTTAGTTATGTTTCGCACATGTGAGCATATATAGAAGGATTTGACACAAGGTGCCAGGAATTCTGCGGCTTGATGATGCGGAGAGATTGCTGGCCGCAGCATGGACGGGCCCAAAAGGGACCGTGCTTGCTGCAATTGCCGGACACAGTCTTTGCCATGATGACCAAGACCAAGCTTTAGCCGAAGTCAGCGAGGCTCAGCTAGGGAAAACAGCCGAGCTCTTCCGCCGTTTCGTTGGGTTCAGGGTTTAGGGGATGTGTTTACAATCATGTATGTAACTAGCCTGGAGTGATGTTGAGCTCGAACACACCCTCCTCACTCTCGTTCCGACGACTCCCCAAGCTGCAGCGGACGAAAATAAGTATTCCGCTGAAACAATGACATAACAAGACGATGGATATGGCAACAAGCTGTTCGTCAAGAGGGATTCCCCTGCCTAGACATGCTTACAGACAGTTTAAAGATCTCTACGATTCCATGCGCACCGCTGCCCCGTCCATCAGTGCTTACGGAGCGAGTTGCAAACGGAGAATGCAAAAAATGCTACACACACACATCGGGACTTGGGGATGGAAGCTCCAGTCTGCCCTATTTGGCACGCATCTATGGCCTTGAACCCCTGGGGTAAAGCAGACAGTCGGGAGCCTTGCGCATAGCCATCGCATATGTCGACCTTGCAATGCCATCGCATGCCAGGTGCGCTTCGAGGCAGTTCCCGGCGGGGAAAACAGCTTCTGGCGTTGCAGCCGTCCGGATCGACACAACTTCGGCTCGGCTTCTTGTAGGACAGCGCACCAGGTCCAGCAAAGTCGGTTACATTACGTTTGTTCAACACAACCCTCGGCTGCCGGGGCATCTTAGGGCTCAGGCATGCGAAGCTTGCACTAGCTATGCGGAATGCGGCCTTCGGGGAAGGTGCTACTTAGCCTGATGAGTCCCAAGCCCTAGGTATAGTATAGCAGCAGTCGCTGTAGGTAGGCAGTTGCATGGACGATTACAGCTTAGCACTTCGTGGTTTGTCGTGCCGACGCGAACTGAGTTGACTTGGTGCATCTTGGCCTTTGCGTTCGAATGCAGGGCTTTATAAAGTCCCTATAAGCTCCTGACGCTTCGCAGATCCTCTAACCCTGCAAGCCCCAAGCCCAGGGCCTTATTATAAGGGGCTTAAAGCCATGTCCAAAGACCATGAGCGTGAAGCTTGACAGTCCCTGAACCCATTTTTTTGGAGCAGAAACCTCAGCACGCCTTGGCCCTGACCCTTTGCGCCATCGATCCAAGCCTCTATCTGGGCCTCAAAAATCCGGAGCCCCTCAACCCGGCCCTGCGAGCCAATTAAGGACTCGTAGAATCGTAGAATTTCATGTGTTTCTGTTCCCAAAGACCGTACCATAATGCTTGTTTTTGTCGTTTTTAAAGAGGTCTAATTGTGGTCTTCTTGATGAAGCTGCTTGGGCATTGAGAGCCATGGATGTCTCAGTGCGCACCTTGGCGGGCCAGGAGTGCCAGCTGCGGCTGGAAGGCGCCTTTCAGAGCTCTTGACCTTTATTTGTAGAGTTGTTTAGCTATTGTGATCTTGATCTTGATCTTAATCTTCATAGATCTGTTTTTGTATCTTCATCAGTACATTTATCTCTGTCCTAGCTTTATTCATTTGTCTTTTATGAACTTAACTAGTCTCCATCTGTCTCTCTCTATGCAATGTTGCTAATTCGTTATATACATATGTGCGTGTGATGCAAGGAGCCTACTTCCGTAAGGCCAGTAGATCCTCATACGATCGTGACTGTCATGACAACAGGGATTAAGTGCATGTTGCAGTGGCATCCTAGGCGCTCACCTGCCCGGAGCGGTACGTTTTTTTTCTGAGTCTGCGGTTGACGGTTTTCAGGGGTGTAGAACGCCAGTTTTGGGCAGGTGGCGCAACAGTCCTCGATGCGAAGCTGGCCTTGCAATCAGCATGGGAGGTGCCCCGGAAGGAGCTGCTCTCAGGTTGCAGGTCCTTCGTGTATTCACATCTCTGGAGGGTCGTTCCTGCTCAAACCTTCTATGGTGGGGGCCTCCGAGCCGAGTGCCCATAACCTTCTTTGGGATAAGTCGTCACTTAAGGTGGAGTCTGAAGAGTCTCTTGCATGCATTCTCTCGCAGAGCTGCTGTGTACGATTTTCTAAGCAGGGGCCGAGCCGAGCTTGAGTGAGAAGTGCAAAGTTTGGCTCTCAAATAGTATTCCTTTGCCAGTTTCTCCTTAAACTGATTCAACATCAGCCTTTTCCCTGAAATTTCTAAGACAGGCAAGGGAAGCACTCCAAGCCAACTTGCTGCAACAGGAGCAACGCCTGCTGGCGGCCTGGCAGCAACAGACTTTCAACTCCGAGCCATGGTTCTCTGAAACCGCCCCGAGGTTTACTAAGCCGCAAAGTTCATCCGTAACCCTGAGCCCTACACCCCTAATCCCTAAGTCCCCTAAGCCCTAAACTCTTCAGAGTTCATCCACTACTTACGTCGCCTTGTGTTTGTGCTCGAGGGTTGGCCGGCCGGCTCCCAAGTTCAGTGGCTGACACTCCGGCTTAGGGTTTGGGCCTGTCAGAAGAAGAGGTTACCCGCAAGCCAAGCTTTGGAATCAACTCCGGACATCCAGACAGACATTTTTCGCGTAGGCCATAAAGCCCCGAATCCGAGGTCCCCAAAAGCTAACAACATCTCCAACCCTACACTCCTCAACACTACTCACTACTTGCAAGGTTCCTGAATTCCTGAACCATGTCCTTTGATGGATGTGATACCCCAACTCAGGCAGGTACTTCGGTGCTGCAGGAGGACTTTGTCCCTGTCTTTCTGATGAATGACTGCATATTCTCACATTATGCAAGCTGCATTCGTGGTCTGATCTGGCTTCATCATAGTCTTCAACATCATCGTCGTCACCTGCCGCATCACCATCATGACCGTCAGAATTGCATCACAATCAGACGGATAAAATAAGACCATGTATCAAAGCAAGACCTCTGTTCATCACTAGACAGTCACACAAACCTTGCTATGCATGGCAACAACTGGGTAAACAGTAGCAGGCATCACTGGAGGATTCCCAAGTTTCCTTCGCGAGTGCACTGCGCATCTTTGGTGGGCGGTGAACGTATGATTTATGTGATCCTTCATGCTTAGCGGCCATGTTGTGTCTCAGATGTAAAGGGCAGTGCAGCAGTCCCTAAGGTCAGTGTGATTCAGACGAATCATGCAACAGATTCTAATCGCCAGCAAGCTATCGAAAAGAGAGTCTCGTTGGCAGTTGACTTGGTGCGGGAGTTGGCAACCATCAGATCGCAATGCTTTCAGCATGCAATGTTAAACGAGGCTTTTCCTGCACTCTTCCCTTTATGTACTTTATGTTGCTTGTTGTTGAGCAATATTGTGCCCCTATCTTTCGCCTATGTTTACGCAATCATGCTCCCACCATTCCCTGATATTTGACCTACGATTTGCATCACCCCATCTTGTGACAAGTTAAGCATTCCACGGGTAATTCAACCCATATGGCATTTTGGATCTAGCTCCACACATACCATCCATACTCCGCTTTCTTGGACCTACCGCATTTTGGTAAGACACACGGGCACTACTGAAACCATCAACCTGTCCCGTCTGCAGGAGGAGCTCCTTCTGAAGGCTGCCATGAAAGCCGAGGCGGGTCACTGAGAGTGCGGATGTCGCAAGAACCGAAGAGACCCTAAACCCTAAACCCTAACATCATCTGCTTCGATGGGAGGCTACTTAACTGAGGAACTTCGTCTGGGTGTGTCGAGAGTCCCTGGCTTCACCAAACATGGCAGCTCAAGTTGCAATCTCTTCGATCTCTGAGAGCCTCAAGTCTACACCCCAAGTCGCCTGTTGGTGCTAGGATTTCATGAGGTTGCAAGGTACTTCACGTCTTCTCGCTTGCGAAGTAGAAGAGTCTCATAGCACAGGCCGTCGATGGAGCGGGTGTTGTGCAGCTTTCGCTGATTCGTACCT